TATATAATATATATTATATAAAACATATATTATATATAAATATAGTATATTCATTTACTTAGTTTCCCTGAGTTTAATTTCTTCTTTTGTCTAAGAGGGATGTTGCTGCAACTATCTCTAAGAATTAATGTTGAATAACAATGAATATGAAATTTTCTGCAGAAAAACTAGAATATAATAGTATGAAATTAGCTCTATGTAGTAACTCTATGTATCATACAGACTTCACCTCCTGAAGGGAACAAGCATATCACCTAAATGTCATAGAACTAGGTACAGATCTAAGCACCTCATTATTAAAGCAGCATTAACAAACTGAATCTTATCCAGGTGTGCTGAAAATAAACAAATGATGGGAAACAAAGAAAGGGTCATAAAGTGATGTTTATCTAGACAGTAATTATTGAAGAATATGAGTTAATACTGTAAAATTCTAAAGACTGTTGCACAGAAAGAGGTAAGAATGCAGAATTTGTATAATAACTAAAAGTTACAAGGAGTAGATTTCTACTCAGTACAAGGAAGTCATATTAACAGATTTGCCTACAAGAAGTAGCGCTTTATGTGTTAGTAAAATTCAAGTAGAGGTTGGATTTCACTTGCTGATGATAGAAACACCTAACAGTAGATGAAAGAGAAAGGAAAGTGTTGAGTGAAGACTTTGATTTTAGTGCATAATTTAACTGTGGTTTTCATTACTAATTTCTTGTTATCTTAATATTGCCTAAGGAATTAACACATTATGTTTCATCTCTTTCATTAAGAATTTCTGGATGAACTATTAAAATATTATTATAAATTCTCTCTCCCTATCTTAGGTTTATCTTTACAAGCTTCTATTATCAATACAGAGACCCATTTAATTGAAGGCAACTAATCTACTTTGGTTGTTCTTTCTTTCTTTCTTTCTTTCTTTCTCTTTTATTTCTATACTCCAAAGCAAAAAGACAACAATTTAATTTTTAAAGTGATAGAAATTTTATATATTATTGTATATTATATCTACCAGAATAATTTTGAGAATGAAAAGGGGAGAATTAGCACATAGGCTCCTCAAACAACAAGTATAAACCAGAACATCCTGGGAAAACTAGAATGTATGATAACTCTAAATATAAATGATTGAAATTACTAATGTTCTGATTCTATAAAAATGTAATTACTGAGAATGCTTAGTGGGAAAAGAATGTTGGGAAAGAGAACCACGGATGTGACAAACTTCCTCAAGAGCTACTATATGAAACTTCTCTAAATGCATCAATGTCATTATTTTGGCATTTTTTTCTTATTCACTGATAATAGATCACCATATCAATGCAACAACAAAAATATCCCTTTAGGTAATTAATGTTTTAGTGTAAACAGATACTTGCCAAATGATCAAGGAAGAATAAAGTTAAAAATTCTCCTTTAGTTTTTTTATTTTTCATATTTCTATTTGTTGTTTTCCTACTCTTTCAAAAAGCAAATTAATTAACAACATTTTGTTTCTTTCTCTAGCTCTTAAAAAAATTCAGGAGGAAGACATTTCCTGCCTTTATAATATGTTTTCATTACGATTTTTCTGAATTATGTACTTTTCTCTAACACAGTTTTTAGATGACTAAAGCTTTGGAGAAGCTTCATTATCTAAACACATTTGGACTGATGGGAGATTAGATATGTAATTTTCTCAAATGATGGATTGCCAGTGCTGAATAATGCAGAAAATTTCAGTACTGTGAATCATTCTGAATGTACAAAACTGGGCAGAGAGCCAGGGAAGTACAATGGATTAATGGCTAATCTGTCACTGCCGAAGATATGAACTCAAATTTTGATGCCCAGAGAGGGGAAACTGATGTAACAATTGGTATCTTACATTGAAGGGAAGAGCTAAAAAGAATGTAGAGAAGGCAGGAGTTTTAATAAAAGAGAATAGTAAGCTGCTAGGAAACAAGTTTGGGGAGAAAAAAAAGGTACTAGAAAAATATAGCAATTATTTGTATTTCCCTTTACCCAGCTGACATATAAACTCTCAATTTTATTCCAATTAAAAACATAATATTTGAAGAAGCGATCATTTGCTTATTGACTATGAATTATTTTATACTAGAAATGGATTGGGGGAGCTAAAAGACAAATAGAAGAAAAGTCAAATGTACAATTCTCTCAACAAGATTTTATTTTATTTTCTACAATTAAGTCCATAAGTAATCTGTATCTCAAATCAGAAGTACTTCATATTTTCTGTGCAATCTGAACCTCTTTTTATAATTTAACAGAATGGAATACCTTCTAATGATTTGTTCATAAAAATGTATCATGTTGAGTCATCTTCAGTTACCTGCAGTCAACCATTTTTATCTGTAAAGACAGTAATTTTTTATGGTCAAACAGAGTAGATTTGTTCATATAAAATAAGAGGCTGGGAGAATTGCTCAATGTTAAAGCCCATGCTTTGCATGGGCAAAGTCCTGGGTTTGATCCCCAGTATCAAAAAACTAAATAAAATGAAACAGTTAAGTGGAAGCCTATATTGAGCAGTGTGCTTTCTGTTCATGTTAAATATATTCCCTCACTGTAGTACTGTATGAAAATTTAGATTTGGAAAATTCAAACAACTTTCCAAAGTTACTAGCTAAAGAGTAGCATAACTGTTCTTTTTGACACTGTAAGTAAGGTCATCAAGTATGATTATGACAGTTGTTCACTATAGAAGAGTGACAGCCAAGGAGCAAAGTGAGGGCTTACATTTAGCTTGGGTTTTACCCACCAAGCTGGAGCCCTGGGGTAACAGACTATATTTTCCAAAGAACACTGACCTGATAGATATCTCAACCATACATTCATTTCATACAGTGGGATACTGACTCTCCTCCAGGGACAGGTGAAGTCTATTTTCCCTTCTCTCTAAGGGGGGCAGAACTTTGCAACTGTCTTCAATGACTTCTGAGATTAGGTCATTAAAGAGGATTTGACTTCATCCTAGTGCTTTCTCTTTGGAGAAGTACATTGAGGGTCCAGAGAAAATGTGTTATTATTAAATTTAGTTCTGTTTACCCAGGCATAGTGCAATTTGAAATATTGCATCTTTCATTTTCAGTGGGGAAGGGGGGTTGTTGGTGGTGGAGATCATTCTGGAATGTGATAAAAAGTGATCTTTTTAAAGGATGTTTAAAAGTTAGAAAAAAACAGTTTGAGGCTGAATAGAATACTAAGAATTCTTCAGATAAATAAAATAAAGGATTCATTTATTAAAAGGTTTTTTGTCACTAAAGATGGCCTGTTTTTACATAATATTGATAAAACAATCACACTACTTTCTTCAGTAATGATATTAATGAAAGTCCCAATGAACTAAAAAAAAAATATGTGTTTGACAACCATACCATTTCCCAAAGGACTCTACATAAATTAAACATGTAGGAAAACACAGCACAAAGCAGTGTATGTCAACAGTCACCCACCTCCTTGGCTTATTTTAAACTCTACATACAGTGATTGGTGAATATTTTCATTACTGTTACAGATCAATGACACTGTTTAAGATCCAAATTTACATTATTCTGTTCAAGAAAAAAATACTCAACCTGTATTACATTATTGAATTAGGCTACACACTTTTTTAATGTATTCTATCACTGTGATAGAAGAACAGTGCTTTTTATTTAAAGAAAGGTCTGGAGATTTCCATGTCTTAACTCTTTTAAATTTAAAATTACTTAAACATATTTTCTTTTATAAGTATACATTAAGTCACACTTCTAATCTAAGTTTTACTTGAAATGATCCAAAGCTATACAAACCTATTCAAATGACATGCAAATCAAATTAATTTGTTTGTGTTACAGACTTTGAGATAAGATTTTGCTTCTGGGGCTTTAGCAGTAAAAATGCCTCTCATATTTACTATTTTTTGTTCTTAGCTTGGCAACGTGTCACCATAGGAATGTTGTTTAGCAGATGACTTTTCTAAGGGAAAGATCTATGGGAGAGACAGGGAAATTCAGCAAAGCCATCTTAGGAAATCAAAAAAAACATTTAAGGGTTTGGCTTTGATTATAACATAAGGGACACCGATTAGAAATCCAGACATTGTCAAAAAGAGACTTAGAAGAAATTTTAAATCTTGTTTCATATCTTTTGGCTTTTAAAAATCTTTCAGTAGCTGAACCAGTCTATAACAATTGAAACATGATACTGATTTAAAGCAGGAAGGTGTAAAAAATATTCTGAATTTATTAGTCCAGTTCCTAGGTGTTTCCAATCTTGTTTGTTTTTACCAGCCAAGATACTCAAAATGGCTATTTTGTATTAATAGAGGTTAGTTTAAACACATAGGTTCAAAAAGAGGAACAACACTTTGACCCAGAAGGGAATTCCCAGGCCCATTCCCTGATTGCACAACTCCAGTATGTGAATGAACAGGAGTTATAAAGCTCTCTTTGTTCTGATGTGCCAATCCCTGGATATGTTCCTTTAAAACCTCATTTATATAAAAATTTATATAGACATACATATATATTTTTGTTTATATATGTGTTTGTATCTATATAGATCTATATATCAATATTTATCACATATATATAGCTCTGTATAGATATATAAAAATGCATACATATATAAAATATGTAAACCAACTAGTTCAGCCAGAATGTACAGAGCTCAAGCAAAGGAACCATCACCCATCCCAGAGCTGGAAATAGAAGTGATTTTGTACTTAGTAGGGGCAGCATGTCTCTCCTCAAGATGCATCACTCTAAGGCAGTTTTCAAAAGTAGATGTGCACAACTGAAATTCTATCTTCAAATCGAGTTGATATTAAAATATAAAATAAGTAAATAAAGTGGTTGAAATAATAATAGTAGTGGTGCAAAGTAGTTCTTAAGAAGTAATGTGCTTTGAACTTTGTACTCATCTTATTTACCTCAAAGTCTTAGAGGCTATGGATTATGATTTCCTTCTCAGATGTGAAGTAAATGAGAATCTAAAAGGTTAGCAAAAATTCCCCTAATGATAAACTGGGACTATATGTATGATCTGATTCCAAGGGCCTCACATTTTTAGCGATATAAGACTATTATGACTCCCTCATTGTAATCACTGTAATCATGACCCTCTGGATACTGTTTATGTTCATTATGTTTTACTTGCTTCACTGAACAGATCACACAATTTAATACAATTGTTATGATAGATTTGCTTTGACTCATCACAACAGCCTTGATAGAATGGACATCTGCTTGCTAATGCATCTTATAATTGCTTTTAAAATGGGACTTTGACTTAAAAAATTATAATCCAAGCTTCTCAAACTTTATAAAACAAAAAAAAATGTTTCTGTAAATATAAGATATTATATTCTAGGTCAATTTTGGTATTGAAGCCTAAAACAAAATAGATTTCTCTATTGCCTAAATATGTCTATATTGGCACAAACAGTCATATTTGATACTTGCCATCCTTAGATCTTCCCTACTGAAATCCTCAATGAGCACACTGATCCCAGTTACATTCCCTGAGGCAGACCATATGCAGCCTAATCTGTACTTAAGACCATTTGTTCAAATGACAGCTAAACACATTTTAAGGTCCTGTGACTTAACTCATTAATGTCACAGCTTGGTACAACCTTTAGTCTGGGTCACATAATTCTCTGTGGTCTTTAGCTTTAGATATAGTGAGAAGCTACTTTGTCTAGTAAGAAAATGTCCTTGATCCAGCACAATATAAATTGGATGGTGTGCTGCTCTGTTAAGAATGGGCCTCTTTCTCTTCACTCAAGGCTCTCATGGCATTAACCCCAGCGCCCTGAGGCTCACCCAAACCTGCATGCCTTCTCTCCTGTCAAATGAATTCTTCTTTCCAGTATTCTTTCCGTCCAGAGAAAATTTGTTTTATCATTTTACCATTTTACTTTATTATTTCATTTTCACTCTCCAATAGCACAAATGGATGAGCTTCCTTGACTCTATTGATTTCTGCTCTATTGATTTCTCCATGGCAAGCATTGCCTATTTATCCCCTTAACCTGCTGCACTTTGCCTTCCTGCTTTTCCAGTTGGCGGAAACTGCCCTTTTGAAAGTCACTTGGGACTTGCTAATAACTGAGTTCAACAATTTTTCTCAGGTCTCTCCTCCCACATTTTTTTAAGCTAACTTAATAGGTATGGCCAGCATTTATTAAGCTTTCACTACAAGGTAATGGTAAGCTCTTATTTATGCCTCATAGAATACTACAAGGTGAAAGCTTTGCTTAATATCTGTTAGTATAAGAGGAACTAAGACTCACACAGGGAGAAGAAGCCATGCAGCTATATTTTAAATGAGAGAAGTTTCCTCTTTAGCCTACCTTGTCTAGTTGGTAGTCCCTTATATTGCTCTACATTTGCCTCTGTTAACTAAGCAGCATTTGAAACAGCTGTCACTTTATGTAGAGCATTGCAAATTTTTGCTTGAAATACCTCACTCTCCAAACTAGATCATAATTTCCTAGATTGCAATGACATCCAAATATATGGTTCTTCAGTTCACCTAAATGACATCATATTTATTACATTCCTAAAGCTGAAAGAAGGTGAGATGTTCATTATTCCTGACATTTAATAGCATAAAATAATCAATGCATTGAAAGCAAAAAGTAGATTTCATTGACCCACCCACCTTGAATAAAGGGCAAATTATATGATATGATAAATATAAGACTGCAGGAATATCCTGGCCTTTAGATTTGGGAGCAATGGCCCTTTTAATGGTGAAAATTTGCAACAGAGTATGAATGGTAAATATTACCATCTCAGTAAATAAATAAATAAATACATGTATTTTTCCTATTTCTTATTTCCTGCAAGCAAAACTAATCAAGACTGATTATTTGCAGCAATAGAAACAGGTGGATGAGGGGATACTAGTAAAAAAAAGAAAGAAAAAGACAGGAAACTGATCATGAGAACAAAGGTCTATTCACCACCGTGGTATATAATACAGATGTTATGTTACTAGTATTCAAAGAATATATCCTGCTTTCAAATTATATGATTCTATGAAAGGGAATAAATAAGAATAAGAAAAAGAAGGAGATACTGGGTAATTTCATCCAGGGGATCTTGTTCTTTAAGAAACCTACAGGGCTTTGGTAGCCTTCATTTTTTGGCTAGTAACTAGAAGTCCACTTGGAAGTGAAAGTCTCTTATTTCTTCTTTTATCCTATTTAAATGAATAGCGGGAGGGTGTCCACTGAAAGTTGGAAGGCATCATACTCTCAAACATACTACTCTCTTCTTCTCTATTAATTTTCATTTCCCTAACACATATGGAGAGTTATTTTTCAAAAAGAAGACATATAAATGACCCTTAACAGGTTA